CCAGCCTGCTGGTCCTCGGGGCTGGGAAGGGTGGCTGGTGGCCAGGCAGGGAAGACCCGGAAGCCCGGAGGTTCCGCGGGGCGAGCTCGGCAGCCGGGAAGTGGTGTCAATGACCCCGGCCGGCCCTGGCAGGGAGATGACAGCTCGGACGTGGAGGACGAACAGGTCGCGCTGGTGGTGCACCCGGGCACGGCCCGGCTGGGGAACCCGGACGATGAGTTCTTTCAGAAGGTAAGGGGGCTGGAGCCTCGGCCTGAATTCTCCAGGGCGACCCCGGGCTGGAGGAACGTGAAATGCACGTGCGGTCTGCAGGACCCCCAGCCCTCGCTGCCCCCCTCCCAGGTCAGGACAATTCGGCAGATTATTGTCAAACTGGACACTAAAGTCCGAGAGTTGGAGAAGCAGCAGGTCACCATCCTGGCCACGCCCCTCCCAGAAGAGAGTGAGTGACTTCCCCGGGCGCAGGGCGCATGCTCAGCCGGTGGGATTGTGGGGGTTGTAGTTCCACGCAGGTGGTGGCCCTGGGTGGTCTGTTGGGAGGAGAGGCTCCTGTTTGGGGGACACGGACCTTCTCTTGTTCAGGCATGAAGCAGGACTTGCAGAACCTGCGCGAGGAGATCAAACAGCTGGGCAGGGAAATCCGCACACAGCTGAAGGGTGAGCTCCTGGGAGTTCAGCTACAGTCCTCCCTCTGGTCCTCCCCACTGCCTGGTACCGATCTGGGCCATGTGACCCAGAAAAGCCAAGTGGCAGGTCCAGGTCACACAGTAGGCTTACGTCTAGATTCCGGAACCTTCCAGTCCAGCGTACTTTCCACGGCAATTACCCCCATCTCCTGGTCCTTTATTTACAATCCAACCTTTGACTCCTACCATCCTTTCCGCCAGGTGCAAGCAGATGGGAGTCCGATTAGGAGCCCTCTGCACACCTGTGTGATTCAGCGACACACCCTCAGGAAGAAAATCCATTTTCTTCTCAGAATTAAGGCATTTTATGCTAAGTTATTATTTCCCCAAACATCGAAACACTGGTCTGAGTGGTTGGTTATAAAAGGAGGAAAAGTCAAAGTGAAACTGATTTAAATTCTTTCGGGACACACAAGCTAGTGTCAAACAAGAAAAACACCCATGGGTGTGACCACGCTGCTATTGTGTGGCTGGGGCTTGGCCCTGGCTCTGTGTCTCGATCCGCCCTCCCCAAATCTTCTAACCCCCACCCCCTCCCATGCCCCGTTGTCTTCCCACAGCCATCGAGCCCCAGAAGGAGGAAGCAGATGAGAATTATAACTCGGTCAACACGAGGATGAGGAAAACCCAGGTAGGCTTACTTCTCGTAATGAGGCCACTTCAGCCAGCGTTTCCTAGCTCATGAGATGGCAGACGTGAGGACGGAAGGCCCTGACAAATCAGGCCCTGATGATTCCCACATGAGGAAACTGACGCCTAGAGAGAGGACTCGCCCAAGGTCAAGAACCCAAACTTCTGGTCCCCAGTCTGCTTTGATGGTGGCCGAGTGCCCAGATGGGATGAAGGCTCCGCTGCGGAGAGATGCACTTTTCCGGAGCTTGGGCTTGAGGAGGACTTAGTGACGAATGACTTTGCCAGGGACACGGCGAGGGAGAAGCCAGGAAATGCTGCAAGGTGTCCAAAGGCAAATTCAGGAAGTTGGGAGAGGAACTGCCTTGGGGAAAGGCCACGGTGTCGGCATCCTGGTCAGCAGCTTTGAGTCGATCCGGATGGGCCTCTCCGGGTACCTGGTGAGGGCTGGTTAGGACTGTGGAGGTCATGGTGGGAGAAGGTGAGCCCCAAGCACAGCAAAGCCCTCAGACTGAAGAAGGTGTGAGCACCTTAGGGGGGGAAACGG